AAAGATCCTCTCTACAGATCACTCTTGAAGGAATCAACACACCCCCAAGATCACTCACTAATAGCACAAGAAGAGGATTACAAGCAATGATCACTCAAAGATCAAAAACTCAAGTTAAAGCTCAAGTAGGTAGGTAAAGATATTCAATGCAATGTTCTCTAACCTTCTTCAGATCTGTTACCAATCATATTTATAGCCCCTTGCTTGAAAATGCCCTGCAGGACACAAAGCTCGAGTTGCAGGATTGTCAAGAGAGCCGGCTTAACTTCCTAGAGCCGACTCTGCTTTGTAGAGCCGGCTTACACTTCCAGAGCCGGCTATCTGGGTTTGTAGCCCATTCTGTTTTTCTTGAGAGCTGACTGCAAAACTTTAAGCCGGCTTTGGAACTCCGACTTTAAATACATTAAATAATCTTCAAATAGCTCGACCGTTGTGCATTAAATGTACCCTCACAGCCGGTTGCAAAGTTGGAGCCGTCTTTGCGTCTTTTCTCCGCGTGCGCCAAACAACGGTCTTCAAATTTTTCCCCGTAGAGCCGGCTGCAGCTTCCAGAGCCAGCTCTCTACACATTTCGAATCCTTTTGGTCTATTTTTAGTGCAATCCAAGTTTACTTGCAAGTTTTTAGCAACTTAACTATACACTTAAATAAACCAATTAGTCACTCAAATGTGTTTTGTAATCATCAAAATCATAGGTACAACAAACTCTAGGGCATCAGGTACTTCAAAGACTACCCCTTGGAGGCTAAGCAAATTTACAATCAAGTCATCCTAGACATCCTAGAGTCAAGTCAAAGCTAAGACATCAAGAATACAGAGATTAACACTTGCAAGAGACAAGAATTAGGATGCCTCATATATGTATTTTTTAATAATCATCACCCCTCCTAAAGAGGTGCCCATATGAAAAAAATCAACAATCAAGAAGATCAATAGGTATACTAAAACAAGAACTAGCAGAATATGCAGGATTTGAGCAAGAGCAGTATACAGGATTTGAGCAAGAATAGTATATAGAATTTGAGCATGAGCAAGAGCAAGAGTCAGGACAAGAAGGGTTTCCAAGGACAATTCAAAATAGATTCCAAAAACCAAATATCAATTGATTTTCAAGAAGAGGATGCTAACATGACTTTACTCTAGGCAAGATTCAAGATAAGGTTCCAAGAACAATGCAAGAATTAATTTCAGACAAGTATCAAGATAATGAGGATTTCAATAATCATTATCCATTTCCTTTGGATTTCAGTTTCAAGAACAAGTACAAAGCAATCTCAAGAAAGATTCAAGATGGATTTCAAGAGTTGCAAGCAGTTTCCAAGTATCAAGAATGTAAAGATTAGCAACAATAGAGAGTTTAACTTTATGACAACTTGCCAATCTTCACAAAAACAAGGCAATTTCAATTGAATTGATCACTGTTTTTGATTAACCAATATAGAGAAATGAGCCACATGAAAAGACCATGAAGCTCCAAATGGAAAAAGTGAAATTTCACTATAAGACTTTCAGAAAGATAATGAGTAGCGAAATTACCAAGTTATCCAGCTCCTCAAACGCATCTAGAAAACACAAAACATTTGATAAAATAGCCTTGAATCTCTTACAAAGTAGAGGGTCTGCCCATCTTCTACTAGTCATCTGACAAACAGAACAAATCTCTCAACCAGCTATGCTGTAGAGGCCAACAGGATCAGTAGCAAAAAATCTCTGCAACTCCCCAGATTTTACAATTGTGGCAAAAAGCATACAAAAATTCCATTCAAGTAACAAGTCTAAACAAGTGCAGACTATCAGAAAATGACCAAGTTTCAACACAAGGTCTTGAGAACATAGCAGACAAGATTAATTTCATGAATCTACACAGGGTATGAAGGTGGGAAACAAGAACAATTAGATTACCATCTGTCACGCCCCAACTTAGGGGTTAGGACATGACAATGCCACATACCTTTAGGAGTGACCCTAAAAGCATGTAAGGCTAAGTCAGTCTCTAAAATTCATCCCTGTAAAGCTTTGCATAAAATTTATTCTTCACTTTATAGAAAATTAATAGAAAAATATATATATGTCAATAATACTCCATCATCTAAAGCCAATTCTACACCAAGAATCTCAAGTATAACTAGCACTAAATTAAAATCTATTTATTTCAAATGTCCACGAATGCTAAGCATAATAGGAAAGAAGTAAATAATCTATTTCTAAGGTGGCTCTCTATTCCCCTGCATCCCAGATGCTCCATGTTTAGTATCTGAAAACATTAAATAAAACAATGTGAGCTCCACATGCCCAATAAATGGCATACCCAACTAGTACGACCAAGCATAATTATCTTAATTAAAAGTGATAGAAAATAAATAATGAAATTATATTGGATGAAACAACTATAAAGAACTCATCAGTAAAACAATTTCTCAATCCCACATGGCTATGGCACATGAATATCAACTGGTCGTTCGATACTCTATTACGACAAGATAAATAAAAAAATGAACTGTTCAATGGTCTAACACAGTTTACCGTTCGATAGTCTAACACGGTTTACCGTTCGATAGTCTAACACGGTTTACCGTTCGATAGTCTAACACGGTTTACCGTTCGATAATCTATTACGGCACGATAATCTAAAATGATTCCCGACTCAAACAACTACCATCAGAAACCCTCGAGGCAAGGTTATCCAACGATTCCATGTAAAACAAGTTACCTTAATTTCAAATAAAATTCCAATTCCAAAGTCTCTATATCACAAAAATATCAAATCCCCTCATCTCAAATAGTTGACAACCAACATGCTTAATCCACATTTATTAAAGAAAGAAAATAATAAATAAATATACACA